GCGGGGCCCCCGCGGTCTCTTCCACCCGCAGACTGGGGGCTGAAGTTCAGGATAGCCTGTGTGGGGTGGTCGGGTGGGAGTCGTAGGACATGACCGTACCAGCGGACTCGGCGCATCGCTGCCACACGGGAAGCAGGAGGCGGCTGGGTCCTTTGCCTGAGCTCGGTGCCAGGCAGGTGGTCGAACCAGCGTACTCCCAGAATCCTCCTGAGACATCTGCTGTCGAAGCCAACTTTCTACTACATATTTTCAATCGGGTACAAGTTCATGGGCAATTTCGGTTTATTTTTTTTTTCACTGAGAACCTTGGGAATTACTTAAATGTAGTTCTACCGTTCCTAACAGCCGCAGTAAAAACTCCAAGTCATTCACAAACATTACAACAAAGCCTTGACGTACGTAATTTATTAAATTCGGTAACAATTCCATCAGAAGACGTACGTAGATACAAAAATAAACGTCTGCTGCTCATCTTCTGTTCACAAAAGGTTGTTTATCTAAATATCTTAAATTCCTATTTTCGTCGTAAGAAGAATAGCAGCTTCTGCAACATATCTTTAGTATGCTAACGGTACATCTCTATTATTTGTCTTTGACAACTTGGGATCAAAACGACAACCTGTACAATTGCACTTGATTCGGTAACATGTATACTATAATCTAATATTTGATGGAATTCAATAGAACAGAACAAATAATACATATCATATGGGTAGGTTGGTCGGCCTCGCCATAGTTTGCCTTTGCGTTACATTGCAATTGGCCGGAATGGGGCAAATATGCTGCATGTTGCAGTACGAATCAACAACATCCAGCTTCACTATCATGAAAGTTCATCTGTGTTGGTAGTTACATGTTTCAGGGCCCATCACCCTTCACTTCACCGTGACGGGAGCCGACATCGTCTACCAGATACCTTTGACCCAGTGTTGACGTCACACTTCAAAGAAGCCACGTGACAAGCCTCACTGGGTCAGTCTACTGAGGAAGACCAGAGTGACTGGTCGAAAGATCTAGGTGAGAGAACTTATTTGTGTTCGATCAATAGTTTCAACTCTAAACAAACATCCAGCCTTCATTGCTCCAGACTTTCTTTGCACAGTGTTTCTTAAGGTGCACTCACTCGTCTTCCTCTTCTTCACTCTCCTCTTCGGAGGAGCTTGTCGGAGCTTCCCCGAAGATGTCATTCCCCTCCATCTCGATAGGTGGTGCTTGATCCACGTCTCGTGATTTGAGTTGCAGCGTCACCAGTGACGAGGAATCGCGCATGCCGAATACGATCAACTTCCCGTTCATGGCCACGTTACAAGTCTGGATTCGCATGTCTGGCGTGAAGACAGACAACACAGAACCTGATTCCAGGTCCCATAGTGAGATATCCTGCGCGAAAAGCACCACCCGAGATCCATTCTCCACTATCACGATCTTACTCCCAACTCCGAGAGATAGGCCCTTGTATCCGACGATTTTCTTGTTGTTTTGCTTGTTAAAAGGGCACCAAATTTTGAGCACGTTCATTTCTGTCCCAAAGATCACCCTTTCTGCGTTCTCCGTGATGCCGATACAGCAGACATTCGGTTCATTCTTGAGTCTTTTCCGGACTTTTCCGGATTGCAAGTCCCACACGGTGATGTAACTGGACTTGCTGATCTCGTCGTAGTTGGCATGCGCAAGATGGCTGCCGTTGACTGTCATGGCGGCGTTGTGGAGGTAGAGCATCGAATGTTCGTTCTCAAGCGTGTGAAGGTGAGTCCTGTTTTCGACATCAAACACGGCAAGATGGTGCGCGAAGTAGGAACAGACTATGATACGTTCGTCTGCGCTCACCATGTACTGCTCGATCCCGTTCTCCTTCTCTTTTCTCATCTCTTCCAGCCTCTGTTGTTCCAACATGGCGTCGCGATCGTATCGTCTGACCTTCGCCGTTTTCGTCTCGTTTCGCCTCTCCCAGGGCGTCATGCTCGCTTCGGTGTACTTCGTTCTCCTCCGCGCTTTGTTTCTCTCCTTCTCTCTCTCCAGTTGTCTCGATTTCTCCAGTTCCCGTTCTCTCACGATGGTCGGTATCCCCTGTCGTGTCTGGTTGGCCGTCGACGGCTCTTGCTTCTTGAAGTTCGCTCTTAGCCTGTACACGACCTGCCCAGTGTCGAGCGACCAGGCGATGAGATGGCTCCTGTTCTCGGATAGCCCTAACAGGTTGTTCCCGATGATTGTGTACTCGTGTTGTGGAGAGGGTACGATGTACAGTCCGGTGATTTTCTTCTCGAATTTCTTCGTCTGCAGGTCGTAAATATAGATGGTCTGAAACACCGGCCTGCCTTCGTCCGACAAGTGGGAGATCCCCCTGTCAGAGAGGATGTAGATCTTGGTGTTACGTATGATGACGCAGTCGGTCGATTCGACCAATCCGCGCTCGATTCTCACCAGGGTTCCCGTGCGCTTGCCCTTCGCCACGTTCCAGACGGTGATTGGTCCGTTGTTCATGGATCGTGCCACTACGTACCGGGGGTAGTCTTTCATGGGAACCGTTTCAAGTATCCCCTCTTTCTTCTTCTTCCTCGGTCCTCCGGCTTGCTGGACGTTGATGTGTTGGCTCAAGTTCCACACTCGCAGGACGCACTCATTCGGCGAAGCAGTAAGACAGAACCGTAACTCTACCCCCGTACCCATCGTGGACAGGTTAGCGTGTTTGGCCAAGTGTTTGTGATCTTCTGTCTCCAGATTCCACACGGCAATGTCCGTGGTGTTGTTGCTCTCGGAGGCACACAAGGCGATGGCGTGAGAACCGAGGCGGTTGACGTGTAGGTCGGTGATGATGTCGTGCGCGCATCCTTTGATACTCCTGATAAAGGCCCCGTTCAGCACGTCGTAGAGTTCCAAGTGGTATATCTCATGAAGCTTCATGTACTGGTACCTGAGGATGATGATGAATTGATAAGTATAAAAAAACTCTTTTCAGTACAATAGTTTTAATTAAAAACTTGTTCTAAAATAAAATATAAACATTTGGTATCATCAAATTTACATTGAATTTCGTAAGTCAACCACGACAATACGAAAGTACAGCGATAGGTTAAGCTTGGTATATACATGTACCATCGTGGATCAAGACAAATCTGAAGCTTCATGTACTGGTGGGACAGCTGTTACTAAGGCAATTAAACGCCTTGCTCAATGTGGTATAGCTATGGGGGAGTTTTCAAGTTGTTCTGTTCTGCATTTGTCTGTTCTGTATTTGTCTCTATTTCTAGTGATTCTGCCATGATAGTGCGATCCCTACCTGCAGGCCACGATCCAGTACTCCCTTGCCATGGCAACGGCGTGGATGGACGCCCCGTCGCCCTGGGCAACGAACCTCCTCTTCATCTTCCCTGTCCTGGCGTTTTGCACGTAGGCGATGTCCCGGCTTCTGTACGCGTACAGGACCTGGTCACCGTGGCAGTTCTTTGACACAAGGATGGACCTGTCTTTGTGGAGGCTACCGGCTTCATCATCACCGATGCTGACTTCCTTGATCATCTTGCGGCTCTTCAGATCCCACACTCTCATCTCGTTCGAGCCGTCGAAGAAGGCTACCAAGAGCTGCCCCTCTGCGGCCGTGGTGAGAATTGCAGGGTCGACGTACTGGTCGATCTTTAAGACGACCTCCCCGGAGTTGAGACTCCACACGCGGATGCAGCTGATCTCCGTGGTCACGACGAAAGAGTTGTTCATGCAGAGCGTCAGAGAACGCACGTCGCTGCCCACACCGTCGATGGTCTTCACCACCTTCCCGGTTTTTAGGTCCCAAAACTTGATAGACTCGTCCATGGACGCTGTTACCGCCCGAAAGCCGTCGGTAGTCCCGGCAACGGCGGTGAGCTTATCCGTGTGCCCCTCCAGTAGGTCAAACAACACACCCCCCGGAGGTGTCAAGCAGGTCATGGAAGGAACAAAGGCGGGTACAGATCCGAAAGACGCTTGCTGTAGTAGGACACCCAGCTGAGGGTACTTCTTAGGATCGCCAGGCGCCAGAGGCTTGTCGTTCATAATGATATCGTGAAGCCTCCCGATGAGCTGCGTTGCCAGCTGAAGAGCATCAGCCTTTAGGACTTCGCTGGAGAGCTGCAAGGTTTCACTCAGAAGGCGAAGCTCTTCGTCGTCTGAGCTCACCTTAAGCGAGTCGTGGTGGTCTTCTAACACCGCACGTAGCCCCACGGCACGGACCTTAGCCAGCAGCCACTCGTAGTTACACAGAACTTCAGACTTCAGCAGATTCATCTTGTTCGACTCCAGTAGATGATACGGCATCTCCATCAGTTTGCGGATGTTGAAGTTGATGATCTTGGCTCCTTGAGGCGACAACACTTCCCGAGACAGCGCCATGTCCGCGACCATCCTGTCCAAACCCTTGGGATGCCCGGAGCAAGGCTTCTTTGCGCCGTTCGACCACTTACCTAGGAAGTATTCCGCCATGACTGTGTGGTAGGAGGGAGCTCTGTCTCGATCCAGGAGGTACCTCTCCGTTGCTGCCTTGGCAAAGAGCTGATGGAACCAGCGGTAGATCTCAGTACCGTGGGAGTGCGTGACGAGAAGGCTTGAGCTCAGGTCAGCAAGCAGCCGTCTGAGTAAGTAAGGCGGGAATCTTCTGACGGATAAAGTGTTGTACACTATAACACTGTTCATAACGTCTTCATCCAGAGACAGTATGTCTTCTAGCTCGTTGAACGTGACGCCATGTTTAGCAGCGGTGATGTAACCCAGCGTTCTTCGTACAACAGCCTCCCCATGATCCCTTTCGTGCCGCGCGAAGATCTGATTGGCTAGCTTCTCCACGCAGGTGGCCAATCGCAGCTCGCTTGTGGGAGTGTACGATTTCCACAGAGTCGACTCGTTGTACGCCATTTTTAGAAACAGCGGGTTCGGACATTCTCGGAAGCTGTCGATGAGTCTCGCCAGCTGTTCGGGCGCGAGTCGTCTCTTGTCGGCGGTGAGCCAGTGGTCCACGATCGCGCTGGCGTCGGCCTCGGGGAGGTCCGGAACTTCCACGTAGTTTTGGTCGTCGGGAACAGTTTCCTGAAGGGACCGAAGAAATACGGCAGGTAAAGACGATGTCTTGCTATTTTGAAATAACTATGTAAGCTGTTCGTCGATGTAATTCTATGTCTTGTATGTACTTGTGTCTTCTTCAGGAAGACTAGATGTCACCTATAGGTACACAGCTAAAGGAAACTCCAATTAACATAACTAAACGGGGAAAGCTATAATGATGCAATAAAAGTCACAAACAGAAATCACTTACTGTGATATACGGATACATGAAGATGATATTTTGGTAGTTTTAAGATTCAGACAATTATCATGTTTCACATTGGTAAAGTCTACATCTATTGTGTTTATCCTGCCTATTGCAATTAGGCCCCGGCTAAGAATTTTAGGTTATTGTCATGATATTCCTACATCCGTAGACATGTGTTACCTTGAGTGCAGGGAAACAGTCGTATTTCCTGTGCGGCACGGTAGAGACGACGATGTGGACATACGGCGGGAGTTCCTTCGGGAGCCAGAACAGCTGCCGGGCATTGTAGTCATCTGTTGTAAGGACAGTGACAGAAGAACATCCGTGAATAGTTTCATCAGGCTGGTAAGGCACTGAGTAAAAGTTACATCAACTTATTTTATGTCGCCACCAAAGCAGAAGACAACTCAGGATGAGATAATATTCATTTTCACCTGAGTGAAGTGAGGAAAGTCGTGTAAAGTGCCTTTCCCAAGGGCACAAGATCGGTGGCATGACAGGACTCAAACTCGGGACCTCTTGGTTCCGAGTCGAGCACTCTGCCACATGACCCCACGACATGAATCTTTCATTTTCATCAGTACCTACCTGTGAGCTGATCCAGTGCGTCCAGAAACACCACCAGAGGTTTTTCTGCGTTCGCGCTCTCCAGCTGCACGACGAAGAAGTTAACCAGACTCATGTAGTCCTGCGGGATGAGTGCTATGTCTCCCCCGTACACGTGCGTGAGCTGAAGGCAGAGCCTGCGCAGGAGACTGCGGATGTTACGTGACTCTGAAGTCAGACCGATCAGCCTCACGATAACAGCCGAGTCGCCGCTATACGTGGAGACGAGGTAAACAAATTACGCTTTAGTATTAATCGTCCTCCGCTAAATTCCGCCATATAACAGAAAAAACAACTTGTATTAGAACCCTTCAGGAAAGCCGTAATGTTTCATGATTACGTTTTTTTTCTTGTCGTTCTAGGCTTGAATCCGATCTTGTGCTCTCTCTCAAGGTTTTTCTCTCTCTAATATCCTTACTATTTATTTTTCACGACGTTGTCATTGCAATTACAATGTTGCTTTTTTCAACGTTTTATACGTTCCTGTTTTAAGGATAAGTTGTAGTTGATGAGGAAACAGTTAGGGCTGTTCCCTGGTCCTTACCAGGACGTCCAGTCCGCGGTCTGCATGGCGGCCTTGGACAGCAGAGACGTCTTCCCGATGCCGGACGTTCCGTGCACGATGAGCGGCTGGCGGCTGCCCGTACGGAGGTAGGCCTTGATCCGCCCGAGAGTTGTCTTCCGGCCAAAGAACGTGGCAGCTCTGGAACACAGGAAAACATTAGGATCGTGAGTGATGAAAATGAGCTTACGACTTGAGTGTGCCATAGTCATATCTTGTAGTTAGATGTTGCAATAAAAACATAAAGAAAGTTACTACCTCTGTAAATGTTCAGTGTTAATGTCAGTGTTAATGTCATTCAGCACCAAGGACGAGGACAGCTGTGTCAGTGTGGATGTCATTCAGCACCAAGGTCAGCTCTCTATTATTTTTTACTGTTTCAATAAAGTCTGTTTAGTCATACCTGTCTTGACAGAAGCTCACGTGCTGAGCTATCTCTTCAAAGAGCACCGTCTTCTCGTCTTCTCTCGTACGTTGTCTCGCGAGACTTGTGTCGATGCTGGCGGTGAGGATTCTGGAGAAGTCCTGGCAGAGTTTGTCCACGTAGATTGCGTGACCTCGGTTCTTGCTGGGGTCAATGCCGCCGTAGGTCCAACTCAAGGTGTACTCGTGGATGTTCGGCAGTGGGACCTGAAAAGTAGCGTTCTTGTTATGAAGCATATTTTAAACAGCTGAAAACCTTACGTTGTTCATATCTATGAAATGTTGCCTTTTACACTTTAGTCATAGCGTAAATGTAATTTGAGTCGACAAACTGTAAGTTGATATGTATACATGTATAAAGCTTACCACGAGTTTGATTCCACAATAAATGAAGAAAATAAGAAAGACTACAAAATCTCTAAATCTTTCATGGACGTAAGGAGTCTCCAAGCTTTTGTATTGTAAGAGTACTGGTAAAGCTTTGAGATACAGGTCTACTAATGGTCTGTAGTGAATACCTTTTCCTTTCCATTCTGATGTTTCAGTTCTGTTTGGCTATAGAATAAAATTTGATGTTCTCAGGGTTGAGCTGAAAGGATCGGTATACCAGTAAATCTATTAATTGTCTGTGTAAAGAGACTCTTTTTTGGAATGCATCTGCAGCAGCGACACCTGTGCTGCAGTGCAATGTGAACCAGTCAGAATTGCCCTGAGGAAGGTGACAGACGGTCACCGAAATGCCCGCTGAATAAAAGACTTGGTTGTGTAAAATTAAAAAGAGTCTCTTTACTCAGCGTCTTACCAACCTGATGAAACTATTCACGGATATTAATTGTTCTACAATTCTACTGAAAATGTCAGACCTGGCTCTCCAACAGGTCCTCCAACTCCCGGCGGCGCTGTGTTGCCGCGTCGTCCAACTCCTGCCTGACGTGGTGCATGTCCGTGTAAGTCCGCATGGCGGCGTCGCTGACGTTCTGCTCCAGGTCCACGATCCTCCGCTTAAACCACACGCAGCCGTCTCCAGGTGCATTGTGGGACAGGCCGTGTTGCACTTCCAGATCAACCACTGTTGGTGGATCATAGGGAGTTTTGTCAAGACATTTACAATTACAGACGCTGATAGTTTTCACTGTAAGATGACAATTAGGACAACAATGACCTAAATTCACAAGAAAACATGCTTACTCAAGCATCTGAATGTATTTAGAAAACTGTTTCCCTTGTATATTACATAACCTTGTCAACGCCGACAAGGCGATATGTATCACCTGGATAAATAAATGAAATGAAAATGAATAACCTATAGCTAGATTTCTAACCTTCATCGGCATAAATTCCCTTTATTAACTCAAGGGTCAATGACTTTCGTAACGTCTTCCACAACTATACGGAATACGTGGATACAGATGGATTTACATATAATCAAGTGTTCTCTCCACATAGAATGTAAACGAGCACCTTTTGATAGCATCTTACCTGATGTGAAATATTTTCTCATAGTCTCCTCGCTGAAACCTGCTCGTGGTGCGTAGTCCTGCAGTACCTTCTGCAGCCGCTGGGTGACCGCCTTCCAGTTGCCGATAGCCTGCTGCCGCCTGGACCTGTCTGTGGTCTTGTTAAAGTCCCGATACTNCGGGCGCGAGTCGTCTCTTGTCGGCGGTGAGCCAGTGGTCCACGATCGCGCTGGCGTCGGCCTCGGGGAGGTCCGGAACTTCCACGTAGTTTTGGTCGTCGGGAACAGTTTCCTGAAGGGACCGAAGAAATACGGCAGGTAAAGACGATGTCTTGCTATTTTGAAATAACTATGTAAGCTTTTCGTCGATGTAATTCTATGTCTTGTATGTACTTGTGTCTTCTTCAGGAAGACTAGATGTCACCTATAGGTACACAGCTAAAGGAAACTCCAATTAACATAACTAAACGGGGAAAGCTATAATGATGCAATAAAAGTCACAAACAGAAATCACTTACTGTGATATACGGATACATGAAGATGATATTTTGGTAGTTTTAAGATTCAGACAATTATCATGTTTCACATTGGTAAAGTCTACATCTATTGTGTTTATCCTGCCTATTGCAATTAGGCCCCGGCTAAGAATTTTAGGTTATTGTCATGATATTCCTACATCCGTAGACATGTGTTACCTTGAGTGCAGGGAAACAGTCGTATTTCCTGTGTGGCACGGTGGAGACGACGATGTGGACATACGGCGGGAGTTCCTTCGGGAGCCAGAACAGCTGCCGGGCATTGTAGTCATCTGTTGTAAGGACAGTGACAGAAGAACATCCGTGAATAGTTTCATCAGGCTGGTAAGGCACTGGGTAAAAGTTATATCAACTTATTTTATGTCGCCACCAAAGCAGAAGACAACTCAGGATGAGATAATATTAATTTTCACCTGAGTGAAGTGAGGAAAGTCGTGTAAAGTGCCTTTCCCAAGGGCACAAGATCGGTGGCATGACAGGACTCAAACTCGGGACCTCTTGGTTCCGAGTCGAGCACTCTGCCACATGACCCCACGACATGAATCTTTCATTTTCATCAGTACCTACCGGTAAGCTGATCCAGTGCGTCCAGAAACACTACCAGAGGTTTTTCTGCGTTCGCGCTCTCCAGCTGCACGACGAAGAAGTTAACCAGACTCATGTAGTCCTGCGGGATGAGTGCTATCTCTCCCCCGTACACGTGCGTCAGCTGAAGGCAGAGACTGCGCAGGAGACTGCGGATGTTACGTGACTCTGAAGTCAGACCGATCAGCCTCACGATGACAGCCGAGTCGCCGCTATACGTGGAGACGAGGTAAAACAAAATTACGCTTTAGTATTAATCGTCCTCCGCTAAATTCCGCCATATAACAGAAAAAAACAACTTGTATTAGAACCCTTCAGGAAAACCGTAATGTTTCATGATTACGTTTTTTTTCTTGTCGTTCTAGGCTTGAATCCGATCTTGTGCTCTCTCTCAAGGTTTTTCTCTCTCTAATATCCTTACTATTTATTTTTCACGACGTTGTCATTGCAATTACAATGTTGCTTTTTTCAACGTTTTATACGTTCCTGTTTTAAGGATAAGTTGTAGTTGATGAGGAAACAGTTAGGGCTGTTCCCTGGTCCTTACCAGGACGTCCAGTCCGCGGTCTGCATGGCGGCCTTGGACAGCAGAGACGTCTTCCCGATGCCGGACGTTCCGTGCACGATGAGCGGCTGGCGGCTGCCCGTACGGAGGTAGGCCTTGATCCGCCCGAGAGTTGTCTTCCGGCCAAAGAACGTGGCAGCTCTGGAATACAGGAAAACATTAGGGTCGTCAGTGATGAAAATGAGCTTACGACTTGAGTGTGCCATAGTCATATCTTGTAGTTAGATGTTGCAATAAAAAACATAAAGAAAGTTACTACCTCTGTAAATGTTCAGTGTTAATGTCAGTGTTAATGTCATTCAGCACCAAGGACAGGGACAGCTGTGTCAGTGTGAATGTCATTCAGCACCAAGGTCAGCTCTCTATTATTTTTTACTGTTCCAATAAAGTCTGTTTAGTCATACCTGTCTTGACAGAAGCTCACGTGCTGAGCTATCTCTTCAAAGAGCACCGTCTTCTCGTCTTCTCTCGTACGCTGTCTCGCGAGACTTGTGTCGATGCTGGCGGTCATTATCCGGGAGAAGTCCTGGCAGAGTTTGTCCACGTAGATGGCGTGACCTCGGTTCTTGGAGGGGTCAATGCCGCCGTAGGTCCAACTCAAGGTGTACTCGTGGATGTTCGGCAGTGGGACCTGAAAAGTAGCGTTCTTGTTATGAAGCATATTTTAAACAGCTGAAAACCTTACGTTGTTCATATCTATGAAATGTTGCCTTTTACACTTTAGTCATAGCGTAAATGTAATTTGAGTCGACAAACTGTAAGTTGATATGTATACATGTATAAAGCTTACCACGAGTTTGATTCCACAATAAATGAAGAAAATAAGAAAGACTACAAAATCTCTAAATCTTTCATGGACGTAAGGAGTCTCCAAGCTTTTGTATTGTAAGAGTACTGGTAAAGCTTTGAGATACAGGTCTACTAATGGTCTGTAGTGAATACCTTTTCCTTTCCATTCTGATGTTTCAGTTCTGTTTGGCTATAGAATAAAATTTGATGTTCTCAGGGTTGAGCTGAAAGGATCGGTATACCAGTAAATCTATTAATTGTCTGTGTAAAGAGACTCTTTTTTGGAATGCATCTGCAGCAGCGACACCTGTGCTGCAGTGCAATGTGAACCAGTCAGAATTGCCCTGAGGAAGGTGACAGACGGTCACCGAAATGCCCGCTGAATAAAAGACTTGGTTGTGTAAAATTAAAAAGAGTCTCTTTACTCAGCGTCTTACCAACCTGATGAAACTATTCACGGATATTAATTGTTCTACAATTCTACTGAAAATGTCAGACCTGGCTCTCCAACAAGTCCTCCAGCTCCCGGCGGCGCTGTGTCGCTGCGTCGTCCAGCTCCTGTCTGACGTGGTGCATGTCCGTGTAAGTCCGCATGGCGGCGTCACTGACGTGCTGCTCCAGGTCCACAATCCTCCGCTTGAACCACACGCAGCCGTCTCCAGGTGCATTCTGGGACAGACCGTGCTGCACTTCCAGATCAACCACTGTTCGGTGGACCAAAGGGAGTTTTGTCAAGACATTTACAATTACAGACGCTGATAGTTTTCACTGTAAGATGACAATTAGGACAACAATGACCTAAATTCACAAGAAAACATGCTTACTCAAGCAACTGAATGTATTTTGAAAACTTGTAACTGTTTTCCTTGTATATCACATTACCTATAGCTAGATGTCTAACCTTCATCGGTGTCAGTGACTTTCGTAAAGTCTTCCACAACTATACGGAATACGTGGATACAGATGGATTTACATATAATCAAGTGTTCTCTCCACATAGAATGTAAACGAGCACCTTTTGATAGCATCTAGCTTACCTGATGTGAAATATTTTCTCATAGTCTCCTCGCTGAAACCTGCTCGTGGTGCGTAGTCCTGCAGTACCTTCTGTAGCCGCCGGGTGACCGCCTTCCAGTTGCCGATAGCCTGCTGCCGCCTGGATCTGTCTGTGGTCTTGTTAAAGTCCCGATACTGGGAACTGGGAGGGAAAAATTAAGAGGAACTTTCATAGTCTGGAGCATACCCAAATGTGTTATTAGTTAAGAAGATTGCCTGAGTTGAAAACAAACAACAAAGAAATGTCAGGTAATCAATTTGCTTAGTCGTAAAATTTTTGTGACTGCTGAAAATCAATGATACACAATTATATCAAAAACACAAAATGGACTTTCAACATATTCAGTGGTTTTAGTAGTTTGTTAAGACATAAGTGGGCAAGTATAAGCAACGATACTTGTTATGATGTTCACCATTTTCAAGGGAAACAATATTGAAATCATTCAGCTTGTATATATGTAGTGTGTTCATGTAGGCATGTGTAGTATTACAACCAAACTTACAACCATTAACATGTCACTTACCTGATAGGTTGTAACCTGTACACCGGTGGGTCCATGTTCTCGTCCAACGCGTACCATTGTGTCAGTAGTGCCAGGTCCAGGTCAAAGTCGTGCGTGGTCTTCATTTCACTCATATTCACATTCCCCGTATCTGTCATGTCATCTTCCTGCTCTTCTATGGTGTCTACTGTGCTTATCAGGGATTCTTTTGAGTTTCTTCTAGAGATACCGACGTTTGGTAGCGACGTTCTTCTCAACTTGGTGACAATTTTCCCGTTTGCAGTACTTGAGTCTGACTTCTTTGGTGAGTCCTCGATAGTACTAGTGCTGGGAATTGAGTCCTGCGCGTCTTTGTCTACTTTTTCTTGGACATCAGCTAGGCTGACGACAGATTCTCGTCTAGTTATTATGCCTCCTGTCTGGAACGACTTTCGTCGTGACTTCGCCCCATTGTCTGATTTCTTAGGCGAGCTCTCGCTACTTGTGACGCCCAAAGTCGACTTCTTGTTCAAGTCAGTACCAACTTGTGAGTCGCCATCATCTAACGATTCCTCGGTTATACCATCGAGTTTCTCCAGATCGTCTTCGTAGATACTCCCGTAACTCTTACGGGAAAATCTCCCCATGGACAAGAGTTTGTCCCGCTCGCTGAGAATAGTCGCGTGGAGAGACTCGTACTCTGACTTGGGGATGGCGGCAGGGACGACACACGGCCCGTACTTCTGGGAGAAAAACGTCTGCAACAAAAGAGCAACATTTGTATCAATGGTGAGATTTGTAACTATATCACCACATGCGTCGTAACAGTATCGTTACAAGTGTTATTGTGTAAGATAGGGCTGAATTTGTAAGAGTTGAACACTCTACCGTTATGCCACGGTAGATATAGTTATTCTTGAATGACACAAAAACTGAAAATGATCTGTTGCGGTAGTACACAATGGTTTCTTTCATTTCACCATCGTCATATAGAACACATACATGTATTGTTTATTTGAGGGAAAATGTACTTACCACGAAATAAGGCGTGGTCACCATGTCTTGGCAGCTCTGGATTTCCTTGAGACAGAGTTCGACTTCGGAGTGTTCGTCTGTCAGCATGTCTTCAAACCCCCACCTCAGGTCGACAACCTGAAGCTCGTATCCTCTGTCTTTGTAGTATTGCTTTAGCTGTGGATACGCCTTGGTCGCTAGTGCATCCCTCTCTTGCACTGTATCTACGAAAAATACCCATAGTGAAAATCATGAGTCGTTAGAGCATCATCAGTTGAAATAGAATGAGAGACAAGCCATCGAATACAGAGCAAGCGATGAGCTTTTCTGAACATGGAACTGCTATAAAAAGGACGTATGGCGGTATATAGGACTAAAATTAAGTATAAAGACGTTCGTAGGTCAATTTGAGCTTCTCATTAATAAGGAATGGTTCAAACAAAAGGGAGAGACTAAATCTAATTAATTAGCTAAGTAATGCTGGTTTATGAATACTGCGCTATTCACCAATGGATATTTCCCAAACATAACATAGATATGCCAAAAAGCAGTTACTCAAGCAACTGGATATGATTTTGAAAACGTCAGACGTTTCAGCTAGTAACGTCTGACGTTTTCAAAATCATATCCAGTTGCTTGAGTAAATGCTTTTTGGCGTATCGTATTACCTGGATGCCTAACCTTCATCGACATAACATAGATATGCCTGTTCGTATTAAAGCATAAGGACCATGCCAATGTACAAACGTTAAAGTTCAGCCCAGGCCTACCTTCTGCCGACGCGCTGATGTACACCTTGATAGTCCTAGGTTGCACCCTGCAGTGGACGTGGACATTCCCGTGTAGCACCTGTTCCACACGCTCCGGCAGCTCAAGTTGTGCGAGCCTCAAACCGCGGTCCTCTTCACCTACCGGCCACGGGGTGGGCACAGGACTAACCAGCGGCAGTGGCTTCTCATCCGGCTCAGAAGCAGAAAGAGACACAGACGACATCGCCCTTGTATCTCCTTTGTAGTCAATTTGCTGCAGCTCTCGGTCTACCTATAAATGCAAAGTGTAGCAATGTTTTTAGTAAGGACGTTTAATAGCATGTTGTTGTACATGTACTTAAATGTTGCCTTAATGTTGACCACCAGTTAGGTTGCCTGCGAGTCGTCATCGTATGATTCTGCTGCCTACCAATTAAAAATCATTAACATCCATTTACATATGCTCGAGTTATCCTGCTAACAAATAAAAAACACAAAGTGTCAACTGCAGTGACGTAGGGACCCCCACGTAGCCCATTTTTGAACTTGACCTTGGTCTCTCCAACGGTAACCTGTCTGCAAAAATCATGAACATCGAACCATGCCTTCAAGAGTTATGCCACTATATCCACAGCCTCCCACAGTAAGGTAAACCGATTTTATACCTTTCTGACGAAGGTAATAAACTATTCACATACCTCCGTAAATAATTTCATCAGGTTGATAAACGATTGAATAGCAAAGTTCTTTTTATCACAACCATTTATTTTTCACTAGCCGACGTAACGATGACCGTCTGTCACCTTCATCAGGGCAATTCTTACTGGTTTCAGCTTTGGGCTCTTTTGGAGGCAGACAGGTTCTAGAACCCCTCTTCACAACAGGTGTCAGAAGCCGACAATCTAGTACTCCAGGGGAATGGTTACACATGCTAGGTAAGAACACCCTACACAACTAGTACTGTGCACTGACACTAGATGTTACTTGGTGCATAGTGAACTAAAGATGTTACATAGTTCATAGTGCATATTTATTCACATACCTCCTCATCGTCCTCGTCCACATCTCCGTCGTATGATTCTGTCGCCATCATGGCGTCCTGTACCGGATTCTGTTCATCTGAAGCCACCACGATGGCAGGTCTCTCCACCCTGAAGCTGCTGCTTGTATCCGCGTCTGTGGCGACTGTAGAGTTACCCGGGCTGCTCAAACTTCCCACACCCGAGTCCTGATGAAATCCCAACGATTTTACCAGCGGCAGAGTCCGTAAAGACTGCTCTGGTGAGAGTCTGCTACCAGGTAAACTTGACTCTACGCTGTTCGGAATGTGACCGTCCCTACTGAGTGTCTCACTGTCTTTTCTAGAGTCACCGACTGGCGTGTCGGATCCAACGTTTGCTTGGGAACCTTCTCCAGCGCTCCCAACAGAGCTACCGGACACACTTTCCACCATAACGTCGTTTTCTAGCCCGTCGGAGGAAGCAGGAAGGTGGCGGTCCGATTTGGGGACGGGAGGGGTGGTGGGAGGGCTGATTGGGGAGAGGCGGATAGCGCTGGATGGACGGACTGTATCCATCCGCTCACCCTTGACTGTGATTGTATCCATCCGCTCTCCAGTATCCGTGTATTTGTTGAAAGGGGACGGATTTTCAGCTGAGGTCTGAAGATACAAAAAAATGCATCAAACAATGTATTGTACAACAATTGTACAGGGTAGAACGTATTAAACTCCAAGCAGATTTTACGGTGGCAAGGCAGTATCCATTGGCCAGAGCTGTAACCACTGATTGCTCTGGTTGGTCACTCTGTAACCATGGTTACAGGATAGACAATGGTCACTCCTCTGGCCAATTGGATCCCGTCTTGCCACTAATATGATCTGGTTGGTGGTTACAACGCACGACATCTGGTGTTTTTACAAATTATGGGTGGCCTTTCTAGCGTTAAAGCATTTAAAATTACATAACACGTATCGTCCTATATGTATAATGCAGGGGTATCACTATTAAGTTAGAATATGAATTTGCTGTCTTAATCCATGGCCATTGATAGAAATCCTATTATAGAAGATGATAGACTAGATTTATAATTACCTCTCCCTGACGGATGATGAAGGAAAGTCTCTCCTCAGAAAGGCTGTCTCCCGTGGTTTCCACCTCCCCTTCGCTGTCCAGGAGGTCTCCGAACATCTCCAGCAGTCGCCTGTTGTGGCGGAGGGTCAGTCTTTTCTGTAGAACAAGAAAAAACGAAAGGGTTATCGTCAGAACATACACGGTAACTGCAAGGTGTAGCCAGGTAAAAATATGTCTCCAAAGGCCACATGAGTTTTATTACGCCCTAGATCAGTTCTCAGCACTCAGCATTTGGTATAAGAGTATGGGAGTTAAACACACACCACTACCAGTGGACTAGCCCCCTGCTGTAGTGATTGCACAAATGTGTGTGGCGCAAGGGCTACGAAACGGAGATGGGCGCCGCCATATGCGACCATGCTAATGGATTTGGGGGGAGGGCTTTAACTAGATCAGTTCAATGAAAATGACTGAACCTGAATACAAAGTCATCGATGCTTGTTTGACTTACCCTCAAATGACTGGTGACCAGTGATTCCGTCTTTTTCTTCACCTTCCGTCCCTGGTTCTTTCTAAGATTCTCGCCAGCAATCTAGAAACGGCAAAGAATGAATCAATACACATGGTCTAGAGGCCTGACCAGTACGATCGCATGCAAACTATTGCAAATAATAGCCCTATGTGTGTCGTCGAAAATCCAGCTGCTGTGTTACCAACTCGACAAGGCTGTCTTAGATGACTGTCGACTGGTGGTTCTGTTACAGCCCGTTCGAAAAGCGACCAAACGATGTCGTACGACAGCGTCGTAAGTCAGACTAACCGACGGGTGGTTACCGGACATACAGATACAGAAGCTTTTTTTTTATTGTAACATGTAATCACAAGACATGGTGACGGCACACTCAAGTTTTATTGATACCGCCACCAACACAGTGGACAAGACAATACTCATTTCCATCTGAGTTAAGTGGGGAAAGTCGTGTTAAGTCCCTTTCCCAAGGGCACTGGATCGGTGGCATGTCAGGACTCGAACCCGGGACCTCTTGGTTCCGAGTCCGAGTGGTACCAGCAACACAGATACAGAAACAGAAGCTTGATGTATTCATATTACTAACCTCGTCGTACTCGGTCTGAGCCCCGTCCTTCCTGATCCCGCCCCCGCCGTGTTCCCCCGGTTTCCTCCCGGGACTGCCTGCCTCGTGTCCGGGCGAGCGGCGCGGGGGTGACTTGGACGGAACCGAGATGGGCGGCAGGGATATATGCTGCTGGTCTCGGTCCATCGCCTGGGAGAAAAGATAAAAGAAAAGCGTTTTAATTTCCGATTAATGATTATTTCTACTACATAAGACACTTTGGGAATGTATCTGAAATCTTAAACAATCTGAATATGTAGATGGGAGACACATAGTGACTTGGTGGACTTGTGATTAGGGCTGTGGTTGGAATCTAAAGATTCTGCGCTCGAATCCCTAGCAGACACCAATGTTGTTCCTTTTAAAAATGCATTTTGCGCCTACATGTATTTCTGTAGTTGTTCTTACATGTACAAAACGTGTGTGTGTGTTCTAAAGGTGATTCATCGGTTATAGGAAACAAACAAACATGTATAATTGATTCAGTTGTTTTTTTTCGCAGTAGGCGTTAGTATCTGAGCAATATGGGCATTTACAGATTTGTTGAAGAACGTTATCAAACTTTGGGTCACGAACCGTTCCATAGTGCACGGTAATGTGGGTTCTAATTGTAGATAACCAGGGCACGAGTTGTGTACTTACTTATTTAGTATCTACTGATTTATTCACTATTTGTGAAAGGTGGTCGGCTCTTTGATAGCCTCTAACAGGCTTCGGGAAGTGGCTGGAAAGATACTCTAAAAGTTGGCCAGATAGACAGATAACATGCTAGGGGAGGTGGTCCAAGAAAGAGCACAGTTTGCCTCTCCATGCCTACTCCTCTGGCATGTTATCTTTCTTTTCGGCTAATTTCTCATACGCTCTTTCCAGCCGATTCCCGAAGTCTGGTAGAGGTTAGTCGGTTATGTTTGTATCAAAAGACACGACGACACGACCGACTACCGCTGTGTCAACCACGTTTTCGCACGAACCATAAACACATACTCATGAAGGCGCAAAGTCGGGGATAACACGTGTGTGAAGAGGTGGGAGACTAAACCGATCTGTGCAGGTGACTAATTCGGTTGTGTCGCCAGGTTTGGTTTTCTCTAATGGAGAGAGAAAACACGATTCACGGTTGCTACCAACATGTTTGTGGGGACGTCAAAACACGCGCAGATAAATCTCCAAACACGGACAGGCCGCTGAGCTGTTGATGTAATTGATTTTGTCGCGCCTTTCAACGGGCTTTAGTCTGGCTCGGTGATTATTTAGATAACTTCATTGATGTTTTCCGGCAAGAGTGTAGAACGACGTGCGATGCCCAAAATTGCTCGGTCGCTCTCTCTCTCTCTCCCTCCCTCTCTCCCCCTCT